GGTCTCTGTGTCTATGAATGGGGCCTGGCTCTGCCCAGCACGGCCACTTCATCAGGTCCGCATCCCTGGAGCTCCTGCGGCTGGAGCAGAGCTGGCTGGCCAGGGAGTCAGCGGGGAGCCTGGGGGACCAGGCAGTTCTGGGAGCAGGACTTTGTGAGAAGCACACAGCTCACAACTCGCTGCTGCAGCCAGGACCACCCCGAACAGACAAGAACCAGGCAAGGATGTGAGGATGGCAGAGACGGGAGCGAGAGCAGAGCCCATGGAGTCCGGGGCCTTCTTCCCGCTGCCAAGAGGCTCTGGGTGAGCCCTGTAGACCAGACCTGCTGCAAGCACAGTTACCAAATAGACAGCTTCCCCCTCAGAACAGCGGAGCGCAAAGCTATGATCAGCAATAAGCCCTTAGAAAACACAGTGGGTTTAAAAAGCATTCAGGTTTAAAAGCCAATGTGATGGTGAGCTCAGGAATAAACTAAGTGTGAAACCTGCAAAACTGAAAGATATGAAAACTGTACGGATGAAGAGAGGTGCAGCCCAGAGTTCTGGTCAGGGTGAGAGATAACGCAACCTTAGACAGAATTTTTTAAAAATGAGGCTTTGCATTTTATGTGTCAGGAGGTGAAGGATGTAATGATTATTCTAAATTTCAGCTAAGAAAAAAACAACAAAGGAAAGCCTAGTTTCCTAAAAGAAAAACCCTGAAAGAATTCAACTGTGGAAATGTAATGCATGTACTGCTGGAGGTCTTCCATGCAAAAGTCCTTTTAAAAGGTGGAATTAGACACACAGGTGTCAAAAAAGTATCCTCCATGTGTCGTGAGGTCGCATGAAGCTTCCTCTTCCCAGATCCCCCTGGGCAGAGATGGCATTTTTCAAACTGACCTGTCATTTGTTCTCTAGCCTGCTTGGGCTGCAAACCAAGCAACAGATAACTCCTAATGACTCTGACTGCCGAGTTTTAATATTCCTTCATTATTTTTAATGATACCTCTCCATGATTTTTTAGACTGTGTGTACCTGTTCACGTGTCAGGAAGGAAGGAAAACATTTAGAGGTTTCTTGTGCCCCGGGGAAGTATGTTTCTTTCTTTTTTTTTTTTCCAAGTTAAATCTTGCTTTTTTTTTTTTTAAGTCTTAATAACAGTGCGGTCACCCTGAGACTTGCTTGGTTACCAGGTGAAATATTTAGAAAGAATAAAACTTGGAGTTTTAAGAATATATAATTGAGAAGATCAGCCAGTATATGTGGTTGCTAGCAGATAAATGAATTAATACTCCATTATCTATCGGTGTAAAAGATCCTGAGCCCCTCCCCCTTTGCCTCTGTTTAACTGACAGGGTTTTCCTTTGAAGCTGGAGGGCGCCATGATAATAGCAGCCTTTATGGAAGTACTGACTCGGCAGTAGCTATTATTCTGAGAATGTCCACTTACTTTCCTTGATTACTACCACAAACCTGCGTGTCCTCCCTATTTCACAAATGGGGAAACTGAGTCATGGTGGGTATGAGCAGCCTGCCCAGGCCTACAGAACTAAAAAGTTGTAGGCCCAGGATTCGATTCTGGGTGAGCTGCTTCCAGAGTCATCTCTGGGCTTCTGCTCCCCGTTTTATGGGTAACTTTCACCTCCGTTTATCTTCCAGCTTGTTGGTTTTTTCCCCCCAGTGTCTAGTAGTGACTGGAGAGTGCTTTCAGGATGAGGTTTAATAGCAGCCACAGGGGGATCAAGAGGAAATGGCCAGGCTGGCGGCTCCTTATTTTCCCTCAGGTAAAGCCAGTGGCCCTTCCTGATCTTGGACAGAGACCTGGTCTCTCCCCTCGGTGCCACTGTCTTCCCAGTCACTGAGCAGCAGTGGCCCACGTCTGGGGTGACCAAGTCAGCCCCTATGCATAGATGGAACTCTCCTTTCTCTGGGACCCTGAGGGAGCACTGAGGGGGCTGCTTCTCCCGCCTCTGAGGGTCACCAGCCTCCTTCCTGTCCTCCCCACCCCCGGCACCCCAGAGGCCCTGAGCCCTCAGCAGCTCCACACAGCTGGCTCTTGCCTCTGCCTGACCCCACCTCCCCACTCCTGTCCTCAGTTATGGGGCTGCCCTGAGTGGTGCCCTGGGTGCCTGCCATGCTGAACAACAGCAGATGTGCCCTGAAATTCCGTTAGGATAGTTAGGATCCACTGTGTCAGCCAGCCAGCCTGCCACAGGGCCAGTTAGGACGTGGGTGACCCATTAGGGCCTGGAGCCCGGCCAGAGGCCACATTACAGCTTGCTTCGCTTTATGGATTTGTGTCAGGATCCTTAATGAGGCCAGGGGCTGGAGTTTTCCTGTTTGCTTATTTTCCTGCTGGAGGGGCTGCCAACCTGTGGAGCTGTGTGAAATGCTCACTAATAGCCCGTGATTCAGGGTTTGGCCTTTCTCAGCTCTCCAGGGCCTGGAGGCAATGTTTGCCTCCACTGCTCTCAAAATAGCCAGGTTTGACAGCAGCCTCTGAGAGCTCTGCTCTGTGCCTCTCTTAAAGTTGTAGGTCTGTTCCTGAGACTGCTCCAGGAAGAGCATTAGTGGAAAACTCAGCATTTTGTGTTACTTTTGCTGCTCAGTCCTAGAGGCCCCATCAGCAGGGGTGGGATTCCTGCCTGCATCTGAGGTGCACATGTGAACCCTCTGACTGGTGCCCAGCTCCGCCTTCAGGTCCTGTACTATTGCTCAGGGTGGAGAAGGTGACACATGCCCGTCTCCTTGGGCCTGGCCACTGGTCCATGAGGGACTCAGATGAGGGACTGTCCTAGGGGGGACCCCTGATGGGGATGTTCTGAATGAAATCACCAAGAGAGATTTGCTGACTTTGCCTTCGTTAACATGGTCTGGAGGGTCTGCCTACGGGGTTTGTGCTCCCTGACATTCGTGTTCAATGCTACTATCTCTGAGCTCACAGGGAGACCTAGTATAGGGCAGGAGAGGTATTGGGAGCGCAGGCCACCTAGGTTGCTTACTTTTTCCCTGGTGAGCTCTTATCTCTGCACTCCAGCCTCGTCCCCAGGGAAAGGGTGGACAGCCAGGACCACATGAGTGTGTGGACAGAGAAGGTCGAGCTGTACCCAGGTGCAGTGTTGCCAGACCTGAGGGAGAACCTTCCAGGTACAGGAGGTGCTGATGCTACATATTGTCCCCCTTCTTGGCCCAATGTCCGCCCTGTGCACAGCTCCTGTCCTGAGCTCAGTTAAAGCTTGGTGATGCTTTAGATTTCTCCCCTAAAAAGAGAACCACCCCCCACCCCATGAAAGCCAGGAGAAGACATATTTCCAGCAGGGCGGCCTGGCCTGCCTTGCTATCTTTGGCTGACCTGAACTCCACAGCCACTGTTGGTCCTGGCTTGGCTTGAGTCAGAGGCCTGTGGCACCCAGGCAGGATCAGAACCAGAACTTGGCCATCTCCTCGGGGCCCTGCGCTAGCTGCCATAGCTGTGGGACAGGCCCTCTTCTGCTATTGTTATTGGGGGATAGCCCCTCAGAGGCTGGCTTTTACCCTGAATGTTCCTGGGATCATACAGGCCTCGGGGTTTCCTCGGTGATGGAAGCTGTTTGTGTTCCTGAAAACAAAACTGCTTGGTCATGAGGGTGTGGCGGGTATCCTGTTCCCTGGCCTCCCTCCTGAGGGGCGGGGCTGGGCCCAGCCCCTGCTGTCTGCACATGCGAGCAGTTCAGCCACTGCTTTCTTGGCACAGATACCCATGTGCCTCCCGAGGGATCCCTGCAGCCTCCTTTGCTCTCCCAGCTCTCCAAGGGGGGTTCTTGTGTTTGTGGGCAGCACCACAGTTAACCCATTAGAAGTAAAAGTCTTGATGCAGTTTGCATGAGCTAAGTCCCTGCCGGGATCTGGGCTTCCCGTTCTGTTCCCTGTCCAGGTGCCGTATGGTCACAGCATTTCCAAGGGGCTGTGGTTCTGCTTAGCCTTGGCGGTGTTCAGTGTATTTCTGGAAACTGGGGTCAGTGACTTCACAGTGTTGCTCTAGCAACCAAACAACTGTTGTGCTCAAAGCTGCCGGCAGCCCAAGGGGTACCTGGAGTGACCAGCCGAGGAGGCCATGGCCCAGTCCGTGCTCAATGCCAAGGCCTGAGCAGTGGGTATACACAGTGACGTAAGACTAATCCAGAGTTTAAAAGCCACCGGGTTGGGTACTTTTCACCATCTTTCAGAAAGAGCCAACAAGGTAGTGCTCTGGCTGGACTGAGGCTCTTGGTGAGACTGGTGAGCTGAGGGGTCTGAGGTTCCACCTTCGCCCTCTCTGATCTTCTCTTACTCATCTCCAAGATGTCCCCCTGGAGCCCAGCTTGAGATGCACAGATGCAGCCCATCCGCCTCCCTTGCTCCCCTCCCAGCTGCTGTGCAGGCTGCCTCAGACCTGGGACTCCAGGGGCAGCAGTGGGGCCTGCAGGTGTCAGGGCCTGGAGCCCAGTGTGAAGTGTGGCCCGGATCCCTGCCTGCCACCCAGAGGTGCTGGCCCTGGTGTCCCCCCCTCTGGCGCCCATCTCACCAGCACTGCCTGGTACATGTCCCCTTTGTCCTGGGTGGGGAAGGCTTTCCAGAGGCCTTGACCCCCGCTCCCCCTCCTCCACCCCCGTGCTTCCAAAACCCTGGCCACTCTCATCTCTTCATTCTGCTGGAGCTGGCTGAGCAGTTCAGGTGGCCGCAGGTGCTGTGCTGGGTGCCAGGGACGGCAGTGAGCAGAGTGGCACAGTCCTGCCTGGGTCCGTGGAGGCTGCCGGGTGGGCCCCTCATCCCTTGGTAGGCACAAGTCCTGAAGCATCCAACAAGTGCTACCCCTCCCTTTCTGTGAGAGGCTCTGTTCTCCCTTCCCTTTCTTTTATTTTTTAAAATTGTTGGTATACTTTCGTGATGCATCATAGTTACATTCATCTTGGGATGAATATATATATGATTCTTTTTATATACCACCCCCCTGCTGTTTCATTGCCTAATGAATTACTCTTTAAAAATTTATTTTACAGGGCCTTACTGGAAGGAGAAAGTAATCCAGAGATATTAATCTGGACTGAGGAGATTGAAAACAGGCCACAAGGTAAATGTAAGAAAAGCTCATTGTTTAACTAAAACGCTGCCCATCTGACCCGGTCATTCCACGGGGACAGAAAGCATTGCTTATGCAGAAGGGCAGAGCTTAGCTATGGGTTTTCAGGTGACAGTGGCTCATCTGTCTTTTAAGTATCAGAAAGATTTTATTTAGTGGGAAGTAGCTTAAATGGTCAGGCACATGAGAATAAGTGGGCAAAGTCCTTAATACATTTGTTTGCTCACCTGACCTGTATTGTGGGACTCTTCCCAGCTAACGGGGACGCTGATGGAGTGAAAGTTGAGGATGTGGACTTGTTTGTCACACCTGTGGAAGGGACATACTTTTCCTTTCCAAAGCAGACAGCTTTGGTTGTGACTCACAGGGGAGGTACCCATGGGCAGCAGGAAGTCAGCACCCTGGAGCTGCTACCCTGTGGGACAGAGGTGGGGAACTACAGTTTCAACCAGTTGGTTTTGTTTTGTCTTGTCTTGAGACAGGGTCATGCTATGTAGTGCTGACCTCACATTGATCCTCTTGCCTCAGCCTCCCAAGTGCTAGGATTATAGGCATGCATCAGTCCTGGCATAAGCTTTCAACTAGTTCTGTGCCCTTCACAGAACAATTTGTTAAGTAAGCCCACAGATAAGTTCCTAGATAGTACTAATAGTTCCTTGATAAATACTTATCAGTGCACTCAATATCTCTTTTGTAAAATTGCCTAAAATAATATTGGCCTCTTGACAATGGGATGATAGACCTATAGCCAGTCTGTGATTTCCATGTTTATTGTTGAACCTTAATTTAAAACCTGTTTCCTGGGAGTTCAACTTCTGGGAGCTCTCAGTTTAAGACCAGTATGAGTTAAAAAGCAGAATCTTTGTGGAAAATGTCTTGGCCTGGTATTTCTTCCTGTACCATAGGACCTGAAGGAGGCTCCTGGTGTGGGGTGTCATGAGGGAGACCAAGGAGAGCAGTGGAGTCTGGGTGAACAGTAGGGGGCGCTCTCAGGGAAGAGGGTGCTTCCAGCTGGGTTCTAACTCCTGGTGCCATTCCCATGAGCACCCTGAGTTTGGGCACTTTCTGTAGCCAGACCCCTGGAGGATATTTCCCAGTTCCAGGATTACGGGATTAGAACGGATGGCAGTGTTGATGACCTGTCAACCTTCTGCTCCAGCACCTTTCCACATGACAGAGTTATCAAACATAAAAGTAGAAGAGAACAAGCCTTAAAAAGTTAAATTCTTCAATACCTGCTAGCCTAACATAGAAACCAATGAAAAACAAAAGCATGTTCAACAGAGGAGAGGTATGCTATTTGGTGTTCCATAATTATATGCTTTGTAATTATACAGCTCTTCTCTGCTGAAATAAGTAAAATAAACTTATTTCAACAAAGTAGAAATTAATGATTCTGAAATATCATAATATTGTGAAATTTCAGCCCCAGACACCAGCACCTCTGACTTTTCTGGCACATACGCTACTCTTTAACATCAGACCTCTGACATTTCTGTGAAAATGGGTGACTATTTTAAAATCAGTAAGTGGAGAAAAGTACTAGGCAGAAATATTTGAGGCGCTATATATGTTATTGTGACAAGATTTCTAAAGCTATCGTAAAGCTAATTTGAGGGCTGCAAATATTTTATTTATGAGGCCCTTCCTGTGGTAATAGAGTTTATTTTGAAGCCATGGGATTTGACTTAAAATGGTGCTTTTATGATGTAAAAAAGAAAGAATGATGCCTGTCATTTTAACCATTTGTTCAATTTCTACAGATTTTAGAACCACATCCTATCAATATACTGACTCGATATTACAGAGGAAAAATGAAAAGAATCTGTTTCCAAAGCAGAAAGCACCTTGGCTGGGCTTCAGGCACAGCTCCACCGTGTATTCTAATGGGCCCGTTGGAGCTCAGACAGGCACATCTGTGGGGAGTCCGGCCCGAAGAGGGTTCCTGTCTGTGGGATGTTCCACCTCAGCCACTACCCGGCATGAAGCCATCCATGAGAAAACTGTCAACAGTCACACCGATTTCCGAACTTTCTCTCCAGCCCGAGGTCTTGTAAGAAATACCGACGCTCAAGCCAAAACATTCCCCGATAGACCAAAAATAGAAGGTACGAGGGATGCCCCCACGCCCTTACCCAAAGGTTCCACTGTCACCCAAGAGTCCTACCGAGACCGCTGGGATAATGTGAGGGCAGGCGCTTCAGAGAGCACTCAGTCCACGGAGGGGACTGTCACTTGGGGGAAGAAGAGAGAAGCACAGGCCACAGAGGAGCAAGAGAGAGACAGATTGAGAACCATCAAGATGAAGCCTGAAGAAAAAATGTTTGATTCAAAGGAGAAAGCCTCCGAGGAGAGAAACTTAAGGTGGGAAGAACTGACAAAGTTGGACAAAGAAACCAGAAAGCGAGAAAGCCAGAAACTGAGGGAGCGGGACAAAGGGCAGGAGCCACTGCAGGAGAAGAGTGTGAAGGAAAGGGCGGTGCCCATTGATGTGGAGGCGCCCCAGAGCAACAGATCGGAGAGGTTCCCCAGAGACATACAGATGACTGGGAAGAAGGACTCTGGGGTCAGTACGGGTAGCAAAGCAGTGACAAAAGAGACCAGGTTCCGGCTGGACACCACTGACACCGCTGGGGTCCTGCAGGGTGACTCCACGACGGAAACCATCGCGGAAAACATCGTCACCAGTATCCTGCAGCACTTTACCCAGTCTCCCGAGGGGGGCACGTCTGCCAGCTCTTTCCCGGACACCAAGGTCACTTACATGGACAGGAAAGAGCTTCCGGGGGAAAGCACAACAAAGACAGAGATAATCGTGGAGTCTAAACTGACGGAAGATATCGATGTTTCTGACGAAGCCAGGCTGGACTACCTCTTAAGCAAGGAGGTCAAGGAAGTGGACCTGAAGGGGAAATCAGCAGAAAAGATGATAGGAGACATAATCAATCTTGGCCTGAAAGGCAGGGAAGGGAGGGCAAAGGTCGTCAATGTGGAGATCGTGGAGGAGCCCATGAGCTACGTAGGAGGCAGGAGGATGGAGGAGTTCTCCACCCCCTTCCGGGTGGAGGAGGTGGAGGACGTGTCTCCAGGCTCCAGGGTGCTTGTGGAGGAAGAGGAAGGTGATGGACAAGCCCCTGATGCTAATCGGCATCAAAGGACCAAGCAACCCCAGGAGAACATCACTCGTGTGGAAGAAGTGACAGAGGCAGGTGACTCAGAGGGAGAGCAGAGTTATTTTGTGTCAACCCCAGACGAGTACACGGCAGGGCCTGACAGAGAGGAAGAGGGCTCTGTATACGGGCAGATCCACATTGAGGAGGAGTCCACCATCAGGTACTCCTGGCAAGATGAGATTGTGCAGGGCACTTGGAGAAAGAGAAATAGGGACAGCCAGGCAGGAGAGAAGGACGTGAAGGACGTGGATGTTCCAGCACGTTCCGTGGGGGCCGACGTGGGTTCTGCCCATTGGAAGGAGGAAGCTAGTGGGGAATTTCATGCTGAACCCACAGTCATTGAGAAAGAAATCAAAATACCACACGAATTCCACACCTCCATGAAGGACATCTCCTCTAAGGAGCCCCGAGAGCAGCTGGCAGAGGTCATCGGGAAGCTGGAGGAAACCCTCCCAGAGCGCATGAAGGAGGAGCTGTCCGCCCTGACCAGAGAGGGCCAGGGCGAGCCAGGGGGCGTCTCAGTGGATGTAAAGAAACTCCAGAGTGCTGACAGCAGTTCTGTGACCCTTGTCGCTGAGGTCAACCTCTCCCAAACCGTGGATGCAGACCAGATAGACCTGGAGGAGCTAAGCAGAGACGAAGCTGATGAAATAGAGAGAGCAGTGGAGTCAGTGGTACGAGAGAGCTTGACCAGGAGACATGGCCGAGCGCCTGGGAGTCCGGACAGAGAGGATGGAGTGGAGGTACCTGCTGGTGGCATTCAGTTCAAGCGCTGGGCCACTAGGGAACTGTACAACCCGGCTGGAGAGAGAGATGATGCTGGCCAGGAAGAGCCCACTGTCCAGGGCCCGGTGTCGGCCACAGTGGAGGTCAGCAGTCCACGTGGCTTCATGCAGTCGCATGTGCTGGAGGAGCAGAACCAGTCTGTAAGGCACATTAAATTGGGGCCCACCGAAATCTGGAGGACTGAGCAAGTCTCCTTCGGAGGACCCACGGCTCAGGTAGTGGAGGTAAGTGAGAACCACAGCCAGGCAGCCAGCACGCAAGCAGTCAGCCGGTCTGAGAGGCACTTTACCCTGGGTCCCGATCCAAGTCAAGTGCCCACCGAAGTCATCTTCCAAGGTCCAGTCCCTGTCTGGCAGGAGGCCGGGGGCACAGAAGAGCCCAGCCCGGCAGAGCTGTCCACAGACATGGACAGATCGGGGAGGCACAGCACATTTGATGCCAAGCAGTTTCATGCTGAAAAGGAAATTAGTTTTCAGGGTCAAATTTCTGGGGCAGTGAGGGCCGGTGATCATTTTGCAACTGAAGAGTCAGTGGGTACCCGGATTTCTACAAGGCACCTCCAGTTAAGCCCAAAAGAAGGGTTCAGGGAACAAATTCAGTACATAGTGCCTCTCACAGACGCAGTAGAAGGGACCATCAGAGGGGATTCTGAACACACCCAAGAGCTGCCAGAGCTGGCTGACATCAGGCCTCAGGGGCATCAAGCCACCAAGCAGGTGGTTTCTCAGTCTGTAGTGTTCAGCAACCTAGAAGGCACTACGCACAGTGAGGGCACAGCAGATGTGGCCCAGGCCAGTTATAGTTCAGGTAGAAAAATCCTCCTGACCGAAAAGAGCACATTCCAAAAGGTAGTGTCCGAATCACCTCAAGATCATAATGCAGGGGACGTGTCAGGGGCAGAAATGACCTCAGGTATTAGCAGATCCTTCAGACACATTCAGCTAGGTCGTACAGAGGCGCAAACGTCAGAACACATTGTCATCCATGGACCCATGTCCAAAACATTTGTACTTGCTGGTTCAGAGGACACCCCTGAGCTAGGCCAGCCAGCTGACAGCAGCAGAACCATGCAGCACCTTACCCTGGGGCCCAAAGAAACTTCCTTTACCTTTCAGATGGATGTGAGTAGCAGAAAGGCCACCCCCACCTGGACACAAGAGGCAGGGGCAGAAGCGGAAGCTCACAGCGCCTGGGGAGCCGCTGACAGCAGGAAGGACCTGGCAGCTGGCGTGAGCTCCCAGGCCTCTGCTGTGGATAGGGGGCAGACCCACAGGGAGGAGGGCACAGAGCAAGCTGAGTTTGATAAGACGGTGCAGCTGCAGAGAATGGTAGACCAAAGGTCAGTGGTTTCGGATGAAAAGAAAGTCGCTCTCCTCTATCTAGACAGCGAGGAGGAAGAGAGCGATGGGCATTGGTTTTGATAAGCGGAAACATTTCATCTGAATGACAGCCTGTCTGGTAACAACATACAAAGGCCTTACGTTATGGGGTGGGGGAGCCTCATCTCAAAGCTCCCCTTTTTTAGTTTATTAGAGAACTCCAGGCAGTGTGAATATACCTGACCCTGCAAAGGCTTCAGGTTAATTCATGCCTTTAAAGGCTTGAGAGTTCTGTCTTGGAATTGGGACTTTTACAAAAACACTGTGTATCTTTTTAGCCTTAAAAGGTTCCTTTTCCTGAAGTTTGCTCTCCTTTAGTGGAGGCTATTTCTCCACCAGTTTTGCACCTGGTCACAAACATGGCTTGCACCCGCTTGAAACTATGATTTATTCCCAACCAGAGAGATGCTTAAACATTAATCAGAATAATAAGCTTAAGAATGGATTTTGTGTGCATGTGCTAACGTGGAATAACAAACTAATATTGTAAGAGAAAATTACATTTTTCTCTTTCCAAAGTCTTTTCAAGATTCTCTGTTAAAAAAACAAAACAAAACAAAACCAAAACCTAAATGATTTCATCTTTAGGAAAAAAATTCCTTGTTGGAGAGTGAGATTCTCCTCAGTGCTTGAATGAATTGCTTTCTGTGTGTAGAACTTTAAAACCCAGTGTGTCTTATTTGTGGGAGCATTTCCAAGCAGCATGCTGACTGTGTTTGCAGAGATTTCCCGCACCAGACCCACGGGTGTGGGAAATGAAGATCAGTAGTTGCTCCTGGTGCCCTTTCTTTGGGTGGTACTAGGTCTTACTGCTCAGTCTGAATGTTCTGTTTCGTCATCAGCTAAGCTTGGGATCAGCCAGCTCCTGTCAGATCCCCGATCCTTGAGCCTTCACCCTTAGCAGGATGTTGAGTCTCACAGGTAGGAAGCAGATCCTTCAGGCCACAAAGCATGCGTTGAACTCAGACCCCAGCTGAACTGGCAGGCAAACCAGCAACGTGCAATGGACTGTGCCTCCCAGAGAAGCTGTTCTCCACCCGCCACTTGTGGATCAGAGGTCTTTCTGAGCTCAGAGTAAAGAATAAGCAAGCAACAATCCAACGAGAGCGTTTTCACTTCGAACAGAAACCGTGGCGGGGGATATTTAGTCCAGGGAAGCATACAGTGTGTCACACAGAGTCATTGTGAGGAAGGAGCTGGGTGTTTCTCTTGTGAGGATGGAGGATGACGGGAGCCCCACTCTCACTGGCCACGCAGCTCGGACCTGCAGATGTACACCACTGAATTTTAGGTATTCGGGTGAGCTTGTTTGGATTTGTTTTATTTTCTACACAGCTGTTGTTTTCAAAGTTTCCATCTTAAAGGAGTGGCATCACACAATAGCATCTCTAGCTGCCACCACATTCTTTAGTCACACTAGTGGTTTCCATGTGATGCTGTCTAAACTGCACTTTATAGGACACCATCAGGCTGTAGGGTCCTGAGAAGGATCCAAGGGATGCCACCTTCAGACGGGTTGTGATTGTGGCAGGGAACAGTGTGGGGTGGGGTGTGTGCCAGGGATCCCGCGGCCCCGGAACGGCTACAGCAGATACGTTAGGGAGAATGAATTTTCTTAGTTGATAAATGGAAGAGAAATACAGTACAGCTTTCAAGATGATGTGTTTTTAAAAACACCATGAATCAGGGTGCAGAAGGGAAGTTGATATGAATTTCAGATTTAAACTGTTGCTATCCATCTGCTAGGGGAGCCAGTGATTGTCAGACAGACTGGTGACTGCTTCGCCAATGCTTCCTATTTCTCATAGAGTCAAAGATTTATTTTCATGATGATAGGCAGTGGTGTGTGTCTAAGTGATATATTAGGGTTTGGCCACGGTGACAGCCTCCTTTTGGATGATAAGACCTTGAGTATAAGTGGGCCTAGCTGGTGTCCACAGCCTGGCCCGTGAACTTATAAATGGATACTGATGTGAACAGATGATTACTATCATGACCACGTCCCGTATTTTGGGAAATAAACATCTTTGATCTGAGTTTTTGTCTCTGCACTGGAACACACATCTTCGAGGAGACATTCTGCCTGAAGCATTCCCCACTGAGGATACAAGGTCTCTCAATCACCCAGGAGCAAGGAGTCTTCATCACTGTGGCAGGTCATGCTAGGCGGCTACTGGAGAAAACCAGTTACACCAGAGGCAAGAGGAAGACCAGGGTTGTGGTTGGACAGGGCGGCGACAGTTTTCCTGTTTAGGGTTACTTAAGGAAAACAGTGTTCATTAACTGTCTCAACTTCCCACTGTTTGTTTTGACAAGCTGAAGATGTCTCTAGAATGGAACCATCTCAGAAGCTGATCTTGCTAACCTCCTGTTCCCTCATAGGAGAAATGTCATAGAATGTATAGAAATAAAAATCTGAGGGAAAAAATACCCCACATTGTTCCTGAAGAGAATGAATGTTTCCAGTCAATTTTGGTGTGGTTTCTTTTAAATTCTAATTAAAGCGAATGTGAGTTTTTGTGCAAGTTTTCATGATAGGATAGAACTCCTGGGCAAAATACGTAAGAAAGTTTGTTTCCTTTCTCCACGCTTACATCAGAACTTGAATCAGCGGTAGACAGCTAGAAAGGCTGGCAGACACAGCACAAGACCCACTGGCTTGCAATCAAGTATAGACTGCACAGTTCATGGCAAAAATGTCACCGCAGCCTGAGCCAGACAGATAGGACTGGCCATCCCATTTTACTCAAGATTGGATTCCCCAAAGATAGGATTTTCAGTGCCATCCTGGGAAATGCCAGGACAGTCGGTCACCGAAGTACAAATTGAAGGTTAATCATGGCTACTTCTTAGGAATCTAAAAAAAATTATAGAAGCTTGAAACAAAGGATAACTAGACAGATTTACCTGTTTGTAATCAACAAATAGGTGTTTCCCAACAAAAATTAAAACACACAGAGCTGTATGCCTTCTCTTTTGTGGAAGTTAAATTTAACTAGTGAGAAACATTTGGTGAGACTTTCCTCATTCACTCTTCATGGGCACTATATTTTCAAATGGGTTCAGTTTCTGTGAATCCTAGATAGCCTAACTCCAAGAAATACAGAAAGGAAGAAGTAACAGATGAGGCTAACATTTCTTCAGATGGGCTTCTGTGATGGAGTAGCATACCCTGGGAGAATTAATCACCACAGGTACCCCTTCTAGCTCTGTACTCTGAAAAGCCAGGGATCAGGGACCCTAAGATTAGTTTTATGGTGAGGCTTTGCTTCCAGGCTTGTAGATGACCATCTCAGAGTTGTGCCCTCCTGTGGTAAAAAAGATCATCTTTCTTATGTCACATCTTACAAAGACACCAGGGCTGTACCCTCATGAACTGGTTACTTCCTAAAGAGCCTTCCTCCAAATACCATTGCACTGGACTTGAGGGTTCAAAAATGAATTCGGGGGCCATAGCAGACTTCCACGTCATCTACACTGAAACCCCTGTCTTTATCCAGGGCACTGGATCAGCACAGCTCACACGTTTTGGTAACTTTAACTATCATCCTGCAGGCCTGGGTCTGGGGTGAGGGTGGTGGTGGGGACTCCTAAGGACACTAAAGGCCACTGTGGACACAGCTCTAGGGACCCTGCCAGCTCCACAATTAGCTGTTTGTCCTGCCTGGGACCAAGGCCACTGAAGAAGCCAACAGAGCGACCCTCCTGCCCCAGCTCTTTGCAGAGGGCTCAGGTCCTCAGCTTTGCGTTCCTGTGACCCTGAGCCCTAGGCCAACTGAGGGCCACTCACCTCTCGTCCCACAGCCTCAGTTCTTTCCTCTGTTGCAGTTGCTACTGCTGCCAGCTACTGATTCCACCATCAGGTTTGATCTCTAGGGCCACACTGGGTCACGAGCTCGGAGACAGCAGGGACCAAGTGTGTCTTGTTTATTCTGCCCCAGTTCTTAACACAGGTCCGGTGTATACTAGGTGCTCAACAAAGTCCAGTGAGCAACTGAGCACATGAATGAAGGTACAGTGTTTCTGTGTACCTCTGCAGGCTCTAACGATCCCTGGGATGGTCTTCCTTTTTTAAAATTACTATTTTTAATTTGCAGTGCTGAGAATGGAACCTAGGGCCACAGAGGTACCAGAAGAGTGCTCTACTCCTGAGCTGTAATGCTTAGAGCCCCAGCCTTTGTTTTAAAACACATACTGACACCAGTGCTTTCAAATTTTTCTTTATTGGCATTTTATTCTCAGTTGCTGCCACCTTCCTATAAGAAAAGAGCTTTTTCCAGAGTCTTGCTATTCCAAATTTGACTCCAGACTCATGAAAGGGGCCGTATGTACAATCATACATGGAGTTTACTTTCCTGCAGGAGGTTCTACACTTGCGAAGAGAAGTCTTTCAGTCCTGCTGATGGGCCAAAATTCCCCTGGCAATCCTAGATCACCCTGAGGGGCATCCACTGTCCAAATGTGGCCCGCTGGGGTGGTGCTGAGGGTGAGGATGGTACTGCCGTGGAACATTCTAACAGCCAGCCTCTCAAATTCGTGCAAGGAAATTTCACCTTCCAGTTGGAAAGGGGTTTGTACAGCAGCAAACCCAGCCTGTCCAAAGCCGCCTTTGGGGTGTAGATGGGGGTTTCAGTCTGCCAGGTTGGGTCTAGGCTTCCCGGGGACAGTGCGCGGAGGGACACTGGTGCAGAAGGCCACTTTGGTTTTTGGAGACTGCCTTGGTTTTGTAGTGCCCTCGCGTGCCCTGAAAAAAGAAGAGGTGAGGTGAGTGTGGCCTCCTCAGGCCTTTAACCGGCTTCTGCCAGCCTCCGCTGAGATGCCTCAGTGGGCATGTACCCTTGAGAGGAGAAGCCTGGCACACGGGCATCAAATGCAAACGTTTCCTCCTGCCTTGATTCCTTTGTAGTTCTGTGCTGAGCTGGTCAGCTGTGAGCAAACCAAGAGCCGAGAGGGTTGGCAAGGTGGGCGGGAGGCCTCCCTGGCTTGCCTTCCCTGCTGGCTGGGGCTGGGGCTGCATTTCGGTGGCTGTGGTACTTCCCTGGGGGCGGGCTTGGCCCTCAGCCCAGGGACTCTGGGGCGGACACAGTTCAATGAGGTGGGAGCCTTCCTTGGTTAGCGCTGGGCCTCTGCTCAGGGGCTTAGAGGACATGGACAGGCTTTCAAGGTATGGTCAGTGACTCTGGTCCTGTTCTGAAGGACAGCCAGAGGGCTGGGAGACCGAGGTGCAGCTCCAGTGGGCCCTACCCTGCCTGTCCAGCACCGGGCTGGGACCCAACCTGTGTTTCTAACGTTATTCAAGAGTGAATTCCTTTCTAACTGTCTGGGCAGGGGAGACATTGTACAGCAGGGCTTCCAGAGGAACTCGCCTTGCTGTTTCCCAGAACCCGGCAGAAACTGTTTCCTCTGAGGTTCTGAATGGGGAAGGGCTGTGATTCTCAGAGAAAGAATGAGGGGGCACCAACTCACTGGGACAGGACGTCCACCGAGTGCTGGGTGGCCATGGTCCTCTTGTCCTGGGGTCCATACAAGAGCGTCTGAACCTGGAGGCACTGCAAACACCAAGGAGTCTCGGTGAGGCTATGGCAATGTCGCCGAGGGCACTTTGCAGGAAAATAAAGTCTCCCTTGAATGAGAAAAAGAAGACTTCATTCTTAGGCCCAGGGCGGCCTGGCACCACGGCCTTTTGGGGCTTCTCTGGGGGACAGTCTGTCCCCTGATTTGGCCATCTGAGAAAGCCAGCAGACAACGTGCAGTTCAGCACTATTCCCTAAAACACTCTGAGTGTGAAAATATATTTAAAAGTAGTAGTTTCAATAGATAAAGGCAAGAACATTGGTCCTGCGCAGAGGATGGTCTCTGGTTTCTATTTTTAAATGGTTCTTGCTACAGCCCAGAAAATTAAAAAGAAAAAGCTGATTTGTGACTAAAGGATTTATTTTATATGGGCTTTCTCTGTTCATCATTATACAGTGATTTCTTGGTTACTAGGTGTTAAATATTCAGCTGATTGACGATTGGGAACTGACTTTTGGTTGGTTGGCTGCTTGCTTTTGTTTAGATCTTGGCATTTGATTATTTATATGAGGTCAGGACAAAGTCAAAGGAACAATAAAGATTAAAGGTGTGCCAACAATGTTCAAAGTAGTTTTGGAGAATGAGGGGGAACTTGCTTTTCCTCCAGATGCCAAGGTATTTGTAAAACTCAGGCAACTGAGTCCCTCATGGTTTTTGTCACAGGGCAGATGAGACCCTGGATCACCGGGCAGAGGGCAAGGACAGAAATGGGCTTAAAGAATGGTGAGGAAGAGGTGATCAGTGAATGGGACTGGGACCACTGATTTTGCAGATGAAAAGAAACAACCCTACCACATGCCAAACATGAAAATTAACCCCAGAAATACTGAGTTCGTTGTGAAATGCAAAATTGGGGGGCTATTAGATGAAAATATTAAGGAATATCCTTATGATCTAAAGAAGTATTTCTAGGCAGGGGAGTATTTCTTAGATAAGATCAGGACAAGCAAAAAACGGATAAAATTTAATTACGGCCTACAAAAATGCTGAACATCTTTGCACCAAAATTCACATAGTAAAGTACCAAGATGATCCAGACTCAGCGAATATCTGCAGTGGTACACAGTCAAGAAAAAGTAAGCATTCAGAATACACAAGGAACTCCTAAGAGATAATGAGAAACGGTAACAATCTCCCAATAGGAAGATGGTTAGAATATACAAACAAATTAGTCAAAGAGTTAAAAACTGGCCAATAAACATGCTCAATCTCACTAACAGAAATGCAAATGAAAACTTCAACAAGTTCCCCTTGAGACTGAAACAATTATACCCTGATGTTATCAAGTTTGTCAAAGATAGGAAGGATATATTGTAGTGGCATTAAAATTGGTATTATCTCTTGGTAGAACACTTCAATATTTAGCTAAGGGTGATCCTTACTTAAATATGTAAAGAGAATGATATTCACATGCAGAGTATCGTATGTCCACTATACAGAATATGAAATGTTTGATAATCATATGCCTGTCCACACAGATCGACATCATGATTATAACATTAAGAGGAAAAAGCAAATTTCAAGTAAATGCATATAATATGAAGCTTTAAAATAATTCAAAACAAAACCACAGTAAAATTTTTAAAAAGCATAGAAATGACATCAAAGTCCAGACAGTTATGAAGGGTGGATGGATAGGTACACCGGAGGCTTCAACTGTGTGGCTCATGTTTTTCTGATGTTAGTAGTGAGTTCAAAAGTCTTTGCTATTCATACTTACCTGCATACATGAAATATTTCTTAATACATTTTTAAAATATTAAGTTTTCTACATGGGTAACAGCTTGAGTAAAAAAAAACAAATGTGACAGTTTGGGGACATAATACTAAAGACTCTATTCATTCCGATCTGCCAGCCAAGTTTAGGTTTTCAAGAAAATTAAAATGCAAGCAACCGAAATGTTCTGCCTTTCTGAGCTGTGGAAAACATGAACACTGTCTCAATGCTTGTTTAAATCTGAGGAACTAAGAATGTGGTTCTGGAATCTGAGAGCATGGCTGTGTTTTGAAGCAAGGAAATATCAGACAATTGGAGGTATTTTTTTTTTAAGGAAGAGAACATATTCCACTTTTTGGTTGAGTTACACAGCAACAGAAGCAGTAACCTCTTTCTCTTACTCAGTACACAATTCAAATTCTGCAAAGATGAGGAGCCCAGCACTTCTTTCTGGCAAGCGTCTGATTTTCTAAATCTGTGCTAGTGCCCTGGCCTGGCCCAGGCTAGGGGTGTCAGCCAGTGGCAGTTTCACCCACAGATAGGTTCTTGTGACCCTGGGTCTTCAGGAACCTGGATGAGCCTCCGTTGCACTGAGGGGAAGGGTGGGACACATGTTTGACAGCCACAGCAGTCGGTGAAACTCTTCGGCGCTTGGCTGGGGACGCAGCCTTTGGAAGCCCCTCCAGGAGGCCAAGCTTCCTCCCCACAGCTGAGCAGCAAAGGGGGGGGGCGGTGTCAGTGAGCGCAGAGGCCAGTCCACCTCTCCTGCTCACCACTAGTCAGGGAGAGAGGCCGGCCCTCTCCCAGTTCTCACCCCTCCCGCTGCCAGACTCCAGGGTCTCCTCCTGCACCAGAAATGCCTGCACTCCATGGAAGCGATCAGGTCTAATTTTAAACCCATTCCAGCTTCCTGTTTACATGCTGAAGAGCGCCTTTGATGCGATTCATCATGAGATGAGCTGAAGGCAGCGTGCCGTGGTGTTAATTCATTCACTGTGGCTTTAGAAATTTACAGACAATCCTGATTACTTGAGACAAGCTGAGGTCTAGTTCGCCCTGCCTTAACAGATGGCTTCCAAGGTCTGAAACGTGGGAGGAATTTCCATTCTACCTCTTCTAGGATCTGAAGCATCTTCTTCCTGGCCCCTCATGCTCTGGAGAAGAGATACCATTTAATGGGTGGTTTCCAATTCCCAGGAAGGGAGTAATAACTGGTAGGCCTCAGGCAAACCCTACTATTTGCCCTCACCGCCCCTAGGCCGTGTGTGCTGGGCATTTCCACTGGTGACATTATGTTGGTGGAGAGTGAAGTCAGAAGAATGGAAAGGGGTTGGGTAAAGTGACTCTTCACTAATCAAGCCCTACAGATGCCCGGGCTCTCCCTTCCACCTCTGGACCCTGTAAGTCGCTTCTCTAATCTTAGATTCCTTGCCCCCACCCCAGGTCTCCTCATTCCCACTAAGGAGATATGCCTAAAATTCCAGCTGATGTGAGAAGAGATGCAAAGGCTGTCTGTCTGTCCCCTGGAAGAAAGGGACAAATCTTTAGCCCCTATCTAATCCCATTTACAATGACAGCACCCACAGAAGCCAGGGCAGGCACTGAGGGCAAAGAACCTAGTCCATCCATTCACTGAACTCCTCCCCAGATAACTTATTCTCAATTAATTTTCTTTGAGAAGCATTTTTAAAATGTCAGTTAAGTGAAAAATAAATATATGCACCCGAAAAGGAAACAAACTCAGTAAAAGAAGAAACTGACATTTTCTTTATGCTTTTCCAAATTTCCTCCCTTTTTAAAAATTTGTTTAGAACAGGGTCTCCCTGTGTAGTTCAGGCTGACCTTGAACTTGCAATTCTCCTATTTCAGCCTCCCTAGGACTGCGAATGGTCACTGGTACGCCTGCCTCATGGTCCTAATTATACTGAAACATCTTTTAGAATCGCCTTTTAAGCTATATGTCCTCATGTTATGATGCTATGCAGGATTTTGTATTTATTGACATTGTCTTAGTAAAATCAGTTACTTTTTCTAAAAGCTCTGAAAATAGCTTTATACAACTAACAAAAAACTTTTCCAGAGATAATCTGGGAAGGGAGCTAAAGAAAAGGCAGAAATGCTGAGGAGCCATGGTTCCTCCTCTCAGTTCACCCACGGGGACACTGAGTTCATGGGCCAGATGCCCCAACAAGATTCTTACAGCCAAGGCATGGCTAGGCACCACTGCCAACAGAGGTGATGTCACCTGGGGTGACTTTATCTCCCGCAATTTGATTCTCCACAGGTCCTTGCTCCATGACAGTTGGCATTGCAAGAGCTGCCTTTAAGGAAGTTTTAAAAAGTGGCAAAAATACGCAAATGACCATGAGGGGTAAAGTCGGGGAGGGTACACTTGGTGGCCGCCATGCACCCAGATAACATTTTGTAAACAGAAAATTAGCCCGTTACAAACTTCACCTAGAACCTGTTCTAATGGCTGTGTATTTAAGAAGCATAAAGTTCATTTGCAATGTTCTGCTCTTCTTAACTGAATGTGTTTAATTAAGCACTTTTGTGTGAAGTAGGCATTGTGATTCTTTTGCTGGAAACAGTGGCTCCGACAGAATAAAAAGTCAATAAATATTAGTCAAATCTGCTGGGGGCAGTATTGTCACCATCTTGGCTGAGTTACATAAAGAACCCTGTAGAACATTCTCCCCAGAAATACAGATGGCTGCACTCTTGACTGTTCTGAGGCTTCTCTTTGAAGACCCCCACCACCATGTGCTGTTTCTCACTTTTCTTTATGGTGAAATCTGAGGATCTAGGTGAGTTACAGGGACCTGCTATGTCATGGTTACTCTCTGGTTTCATATCAAGGCTGCGAGAATCCGCCACTTGTGTTTCTGTTATTCCTCAAGTGACAAAATGGGCACTTTTCCTTGTAAGAAGACAGTGCGTTTACACTGGCCTTGGGCAACCATGTTCATCTTTCTTGATTTGGGTTCCAGGGCTCAGCACAGTCCTTGGCGGTCAGTGGCCCTAAACAAGTGAGTGTGTAACTAAGCGAGCAAGCATAAACCCAAGAACACTTTTATGGGGTGCTTTAAGACAGCTGGAGCACAGGGCTCCAGAGATTGGCGAGTTACTGAAGGCTACAGGAAAGAAGGTCCACTGTGAGCGCACCATGGAAAATCATCAGGGTCACGCTCCAGGTAAGATCCACGGCAGAAAGAGGACCGCTTACCACTTGTAAGTTTCTCTCAGGAGATATTTGTA